GAAACTGACAATATTTTTTCTTTCCTTTCCTCTCTTCTTGTTGTGAGACAGGGTCTTGTGGTATAGCCCAGGCTGGCCCAGGACTCAGGAACTTGTGCTCCCCTTGGCCTCTAGGGTGGCCATGCACTTCCAGGCCCAGCTATGCTCTGAGTCCCTAGGATACTCTCCACCCAGGTTTCTCCTCAGGTCTCATACTCCACTGCACAGCTCCACTTCAATCTCTGCCTCAGGTGGCTGTGAAGTTTTAAAATTCCCTCTCAGGGGCTGGGGATTTAGCTCAGTGGCACAGTGCCTGCCTGGCAAGCGCAAGGTCGTGAGTTCGATTCCCGGTACCGGGGGAAAAAAAAAAACCCTCCCTCTTAGAGCCCAGTGCCTTCACTCTGGAGTGTGTGTCGAGGTAGAGGTAATGAGCTGGGCACGCCGGGTCAGCCTTTCAGACAGCAATCATCCATGAAACAGGGCTGTGCTCCCTCCGGAACCAGAAACTAGAGCTCACACTGGGAGCACCAGCTGTTGTCTCAAGACTATTGTAGAAAAAACAAACAAAAAAAAGAAAAAAAAAGGGGCTGGGGATTTAGCTCAGCGGCAAAAGCGCCTGCCTGGCAAGCGCAAGGTCGTGAGTTCGGTTCCCGGTACCAGAGAAAAACCTAAAAGAAAAAACAAACAAAAAAAGACTATTGTAGAATCAGGAAGAGGCGAGCAAGTTCAAGTAAAAACACTTCATCATTTTTGGGGGTGATAGTGGTTTGAGACAGGGTCTTGCTATGTAGTTCAGGCTGCTGAACTCACTGTGTAGTCCAGGCTGGCTTCAAACTCATAGCAATCCTCCTGCCTCAAGCCTCCTGAGTGCTGGGATTATAGGCATGCAGCACGACACCTGGCTGCCTGTCATTTTAAACCACCTATTCTTTTTTTTGTTCTGTTTTGTTTTTTTTCCAGTACTGGGAATTGAACTCATGACCTTGAGCTTGCCAGGCAGGCACTGTGCCGCTGAGCTAAACCCCCAGCCCCTTGCCTGTCATTTTTTTTTTTGCCTGTCATTTTAAAATAAACTTTTTCTTGTATCAGTGTTCAGTTGATTGTTACAAAATTATGTTTTGCAGTTTAGACAAAATTAGTTCTTATAATGTTTTTATTTATTTATTTATTGAGACAGGGTCTCATTACGTAGTTCAGACAGGCTTCGAACTCACTATGTGGCCCAGGCTGGCCTCAAACTTACGGCAATCTCCTGCCTCAGCCTCCCAAGTCCTGTGCCTGAGATTACAGGCATGTGCTACCACACCTGGCTAATCTGAGACAGGTTCTTGGTATGTAATTCTGGCTGGCCTTGCAGCCACTGTGGACCCCAGTCTGGCCTTGAACTCATGATGATCCTCCTGCCTGAGCCTCCAAAGTGCTGAGATTATGGCCAAGTGCCACCACACCTGGCTCCAATAATTTATCTAAAGATATTTCTGTGAGGGCTGGGGAAATAGCTCAGTGGCATAGTGCCTGCCTGGCAAGCTCAAGGTCGTGAGTTTGATCCCTGGTACCGCAAAAAAAAAAAAAAAAAAAAAAAGGTATTTCTGCGAAAGGATGAGGGTTTGGAGCTGACTACTCTGCCACTTTGCTGACACCACTCTTCTCATTTCTGAAAGATATCTGCACTGGGTTTAGAATTTGAGGTTGACAGGTTCTTTTTTTTGTTTTTGTTTTTTGCTTTTTTAAAATTTTTCTTCTAGTACCAGGAATCGAACTCATGACCCTGTGCTTGCCAGGCAGGTGCTGTGCCGCTGAGCTAAATCCCCAGCCCGACAGATTCTTTTCTTTACCTGCTTTCAGGATATTTTGTCAGTTTTCTCACTTGCTTTGTTTCCAACAAGAAACCAGTATCATCAAGGGCTCCACACTGAGCTACATCTCCAACCACTTTTAAATTTTTTGAGACAGGGTGGCATTATCTTACCCAGGCTTGAATGTGCTTTCCTCCTGTCTCAGCCTCCTCAGTGCTGAGATTACAGGTGTGCACTACCACGCCGGGCACATCTTTATCTCGGTCCCTCTGTATGTAACACGTCTTTTTTTCCCAGGATCCTTTTTTTCTTTTTTTTTTTTAGGGCTCATTTCTCATGGCCTATAACTTTCTCATCACTGATGAACAATTTTATTATGTACATTTCATACCTTTTGGAGTTTGTTGAGCTTCTTGGATATATTTTAAAAAAAAAGACATATACATCTTATATATTTATGGGATACCTCAGGATATTTTGATACACATACCCATTGTGTAATGTTTAAATCAGGGTAAACCGATCCATCTTCTCAAAAACATCACTTTCATGCCAGGTGTGGTGGTGCACACATGTAATCCCAGCACTTTGGAGGCTGAGGCAGGAGGATCACTGTGAGTTTGAGGCCATAGTGAACTGCATAGTGAAGCCTGGTCTCAAAAAGACAAACAAAAAACCCCCAAATTTTAATCATTTCTCTATGATGGTACCTATAAGTTTAGTTTACATCAAATCTGGAAATTTTTCAGCTATCATTTCTCTACTACGTATGTGCCTGCTTCTTTTATCTGAGACAGGGTCTCACTGTGTACCTCAGGCTGGTCTTTTTGAGAGAGGGTCTTGCTATCTAGTTCAAGCTGGCCTCGGGCTGGGGATATAGCTCAGTGGCACAAGTGCCTGTCTGGTAAGTGCAAGGTTGTGAGTTTAATTCCCGGTACAAAAAAAAAAAAAAAGCTGGCCTTGAGCTCACTTTGAGCCCAGGCTGGTCTCAAACTTGCAAAATCCTCCTACCTCAGGCTCCTGAGGGCTGGGATTACAGGTGAGCGCCACCATGGGCAGCCTCCAGGCTGGTCCTGAACTCATTATGTAGCCCATACTGGCCCTAAACTTGAGATCCCCCTGCCTCAACCTCCCATGTCCTGGGATCGCAGGAGTATACCACCACACCTGGCCTGACCTTCATATCTTTTGAAGGAATGCTTACCTCAGTGGCAGCTGAGGTAACTTATTATCTATTAGTATAATTAAGGTTTTTTGGGGTGTGTCTTCCACTTCTTTACTGAACTTTCTGAACAGGTGGGATATGTTACATAAAAAACTCTCATAATGCCCTTGTGTGCTACTCTAATATCTGTGTCACTTGTTTATTTTTTTGGTACCCGGAATTGAACTCAGGACCTTGTGCTTGCCAGGCAGGCGCTTGTGCCGCTGAGGTATCTCTCCAGCCCCTGTGTCACTTCCGGACCCACTTCCTGGATTGCTTTTCCTCTGACAGCCACACTTTGGTGCTTCACTACATGCCCGGCAGTATTTTACACGATGCCAGACTATGCGAACTTGACCTTGTTGGAGCCACAGTGGTGATTGTATTCCTACAATCAAATGTCTTAAGCTCTTTTTTCTGGGACACAGAAGTTACTCACAATCACTTTGATCCTTTCGGGTACTACTTCTGTGATTTGTTAAGTGGGACCAGGACAGCAAGTAGGGCAGGTGTAATTATTCCCCACTATTGAGGCAAGATCTGAGTACTTTACCCAGTGCCTTGCGAATGGCCCTGGTTGATGGGAACAGGAGCACTCGATCCTGTCCCTGGACCTTCGCGGTCGGTCCTTTCCCCAGCCTGGGGCAGGTGTACTGACAGGACGTGAGTATTTAGGGAAGGTCTCTGCAGACCTCCCTGTCGCAGAGAATCCTCCGATCCTGTCTCGGCTGGGCCACCCCATAGATACTGCCAGGCCACTGCAGGTGTCCTCTCTGTGCACACTCGGGGGTTTCTGGAAAGAATGCACGCCTCAGCGACCTCAGGACAAAGGACAGTGGCCTCAAGGACCTCACCCTTGGTGCACGGCCGGGGTCCACTGGAAGCGCCAGCAGACACACTACCAACGTAACACGTGGTTTCCAAGTGTGAGCAGGGCACTTGCAGCCTCAGCTTCCACGAGCTCTCACCCAGACGGGGCGCGGCGCTGGTCTTCAGCACTGTGCATGCAGCCTGCAGGGCCTCCGGGTGCGCAGCCCCAGCCCCCGGGGAGATGATCTGCGGTACACGGTTCACGTCCGTGTTTAATGACAAGCAGACTGGCACCTGAAAGGGAAAACTTGGTTCTGGGAGGGTTCTTGACAGTATGATGGGGGGTAGGCTTGGGTCAGAGAAGGGACCCGAAGCTGAGGGGCGGGGCAGGCGTCAGGGTTCCGGAGACTCCTGCGGCTCCGCGTCGGGCAGGCCCCACCGGGGAGGCGGAACTTGTGCCGTCTCGGGCTTTCCCCACGGGGACTGCCTGATGCGCCCGTGAGTCTGGGGTGCGAGTGGCTCCGGGGTGGTACCTCCAGTCCGGGAATTTTCTGCTTTCACCAGGAAGGATCCCGGCACGCGCAGGGCTCAGTACCGCCGGGGGTGCGTGGGGCCGGAGCCCGCCAGGCGCAGACTGCGGGGCAAGGCTGGGGGCTGCCACCAGGCCGGGCCCGGCTCCTTCCCCGCGGGCGGCTTGCACATCCGGCCTCGGGCCAGGGGCGCGCCAGCAGCAGACCCGACAGAGGCGCTGCGCCGCCGGGGCCAGCGCCTGGTTACGCCGAGGCCCGCAAGGACCCACAGGCTGTCTTCGCCCTGCGCCGTCATCAGGAACACAGCGCACCGCGTCCCCTCCCGCGCCCTCTCGGGAGGGTTCCCAGCGCGAGCGGCGCGGTCAGAGCGGACCCGCCACACTCCGCGCACACGAGAAGGGCCGCCGGCGCGCCGGGCGCCTGCCTTCGCCGTTGCTGTCCTCGACGGCCGCCAGCATCTCTCCCCAGGGACCCGCAGGGAGGTGTCTCCGGCTCAGCCGCGGCCGCAGCTCGGACACCGCGCGGTCCGGGGACGGAGAGAGGCGGGAGCGCCCCGCCCCGACCCCGGCAGCAGCGCGGAGCACGGCAGGACTGGGCGGGGCGTAGTCTCTCCGCCCCGGAAGCGGAAGCGGAACGTGCCTGCCCGACTGCCCGCAGGGACGCACGAGGCGGACTCCCGCGGCCGCGTGACCCGGAAGTCCTCCCTGAGGCCCCGCCTCCGCCCGCGAGATCGCCGTCTGGGGCCGAGCCACTTCCTTTCTCTGCTCGCGCTCGGCGTGGAGGCAGCAGGTTGGCCGTGCGGGGTGGGTTTCGGGCGGGACCGACCCGGGCCGGGCTCTGGAGGCGGGGAGTCTGCCGCGGCGGGGTTCCGAACGTGCGGAGAGCGCCGGGCGGGGTCGGGCTGGGCCGCGCGGGGCCGGGCTGAGCTCTTGGTGCCGTGCGTTGCCTCCCTAGGCCGAGCCTCAGGATGCAGAACGACGCCGGCGAGTTCGTGGACTTGTACGTGCCGCGGAAATGGTGAGTGTGCCCGCCCCGCTCGCGCCTCCGGCCCCCTCCTGCCCCTTCCGTGGCCGCCCCCGGTCTTTCGGCGCACGGCCCTCGCACAGCCCGGCAGGCCGCGGCTCCTCCCCTCACGGTGCGCCCCTTCCCTGCAGCTCCGCCAGCAACCGCATCATTGGGGCCAAGGACCACGCGTCCATCCAGATGAACGTGGCCGAGGTGAGCCGGGAGCCGGGGCAGTGGGCGGCCTGTCCCCCGCGCGGAAGGGTGTCGAACCGCCTTTGCACCTTGTGTCCCAAACTCCCGGTTAGATTACAGCTGAGCAGCCTCTGCGTTTTTCTTTCCGTAGGTTGATAAGGTCACAGGCAGGTTTAACGGCCAGTTTAAAACCTACGCTATCTGCGGGGCCATTAGGAGGATGGTGAGTGTTGCCCTGTGTCTTGTTTCCCGCGTGGTCGCCTCCCCTGCCTGGGTGGCTGTGGGTTTGGACCTGGGCATTTGAGCATGTAGTGGTGTTTCCTAGTGTTTTGGACAGAATAGATTGTTGGCCGAAGTAGGTTTATTGGCTACTTGCTTTTTTCTGGAGTAGAAAAGGGGTGCTCATGGGCCCAGAAAATGGGCAGTGCCTCTTTCCTGTTCGTACCCCCTTTCTCTTGGATAGAAACCAGTTTGTAGGTCCTCCTGCCAGTGCAAGTAGCCATGGGGGAAATACCCTCTTTTTCTTTTTTTGGTACTGGGAGTCGAACTCAGGACCTTGCGCTTGCCAGGGAGGCGCTTGTGCCGCTGAGCTATGTCCCGGGCCCCTATGGGGGAAATATTCTCAAGAGAACTGCTTTTTTTCCAGGGTGAATCAGATGACTCCATTCTACGATTGGCCAAGGCTGATGGCATCGTCTCAAAGTAAGGGGTTTTCATATTGGGCAGAGTGGTCTGGGATTGCCCTCAGGCATGATCGTAATGTTGCCTTTGTTTCCTTTTGTAGGAACTTTTGAGTGGAGAGAGTTGTGGAGGTGGCACATCTGTCACAAATAAATAGAGCGTACCTGTGTTGGATCGTTGTGTCCGTGTGGGCGTGCTTCTTGGGGCTCGGGAACAGGGCTAGCCCTTGACTGTATGGGCGCCCAGGGTAAGGCAGTGTACCTGCTCAGTTGAAAGAAACTGAGGTATGTTGCAAAACATTTTTACTTCAACTAATACGTTACCTACTTGAAAACAACCCATGACAAGTAACTGGAACATTCTGAGGTCAGATACTCAGTTATGCACATGTATGTTCACAACTGCTGGGTGCTGAGGAAGTGGCACCAGGACTGGTTTCAATTGGTCACAGCCCAGCTGAACACCTCGGACACAGCTCAAGACTTCTGGACTCGGTCTAGAGGATGACAGGTTCAGGCTGTCATTTGGTTTAAGTGTTGACTTTGTTGCAGCAGCTCTCAGATACCACACAGTGGCAGCTCTTGGCCTTATTGAAAAGGACATACATAAGGACTTCAGACAGACCAGTATGGTAATTGACTAAATCTCCCTACATAAATAACAAACAAGTTACCATTGTTTATCAGCCGTTCTCCTCATGGTGTGGAAGTCCTGAGGGGATGTGGCCCCAGAGTAGGTTGTAAACCAGAGCAGTGTAGGAAGTCGGTCCCTTACAGTGTTCATGACAAGTGCCGGGGAGACACCATTTTGGCAGGACAGCCAAGGGAGTGTTGCCTGTGTTTAGGTCCAATACTGTGGGGTGAAGTCTTGCATGCACACAAGAGTTTTGAGACTTTCCTTGGCGTGTTGAAAGGGAGACTCCATGATAGAATAAGGATGGGCTCCTGCCTGCCCTACAGTCTTGCCTTCCTGTGCTCTGGCCTTTATTGCTGCTCAGGCTCTGAGTGATGAGGGTGAGTGCAGGGAGAAGGCTGTAGCCAGGCAGCCGAGTCCCTCAATCAGCAGGATTAGCATCTCCCCATGGTGCAGCCTCTGTCAGTGGATGACAGCAGAATGGCCATTTTTGAGACTAGCTGGCCCTTGAGGAAAAGCAGTATTCCTTGGTTCTTCAGTATTTCTCATGGGGCAGCAAATGGCCGCATGGTCTGCTGCAAGAACATTGGATAAACTTGGAAAAGCTGAAGATGCCCAGGTGCCCTGTGGTCATCAGGCAGGGACAGTGATGGCTCCTTGGCATGGTGTGCTGTGCTGGCCGAGCTGGCCGAGCTGGGATCTGTGCAGATGAGGAAAAGGCACTGACTGGGATGCTGCAGCATGCACACTGGTCAGGCGCCGTTGTGTGGTTTTGGGTTGCACCTTCGCGGGCTTCACTGGACCAGCTTCTGTAAGACCCACTGTCCCTGATCTGGTGAGTGGCACTGAGCTGGTGGTGCCTGCTCATCAGCCAGGGGCAAACCAACCCTATTATCCCAGCCTGACTTCCGGTCTACACCTGTGCCCGGTCTATTCCTTGGGCCCACAGGGAAGAGATCCCACAGGACCATGTTCCAGGTTATAAGTAGGTCTTGGCCACAGTATTGCTTAAGAAAGTTAAGAGCCAAGAGTCAGCAGCTGTCTGGAACTAGCAGGGTCATAGGTGAGCAGTGTTTCCTGATGAGGCAGAGGATGGGGTTGGCAAAGGCCGGCCTGGTGTCTGCTGAGCCCTGTAGGGCATGCGACATTGCATTACAAGATTTCACAGTGACACGATGCTTGAGTTATCAGAGCAGACCTAGAGCCTGCTCTTGGCAGCTTAAACCGACACCAAAAGCCAGTGCTGATGTGGGAGGCTCTGAAGGAGCTTTGCTCAGGTGGAGACAGCAAGTACTGATGCTCAGAGAGACTGTTGGGCCTGGGACTACTGCCGCATCCAGAAAATGGAAAACCCAGATGGAAACTTGCGTACGTTAACATGGGCAGTCTGGACAGGCTGGACACCCAGATCTCTGGGATGCTAGTGCTGCAGCTGATGGTTTGCAGAGGTAAGGCGAGGGAGGAAGATGGCCAGAACTTGGGATTCACATGGTGAAAACCTAAGGTCGGGTGCCAGGCCAGTCTCAGGGACATGAAAATTAAACCCCACGCTGTTCATGTAGAACTCCAGGAAAATTCTCAAAAATATCCTCGTGGTACGGTGCAGTTTGGAATGAAAGCAACGTCCCTTTCCAAGGAAACAGTAAAGAAATGAAATGCACTGGCTACGAAGCTCAGAGACAGAAGGGTAGTGGGCAAGGCGGGGTGGACACACGGATGCTGGTGGCCGCAGTGCCGGGCCAAGGAACATGCCTTCCTGCTGACTGGCCCTCAGAGCTTGCGGCCTGGCTAGAACTGCTGGGTGAGGCGTCTGTAGTGAGGTAACACTTGGTTCTCAGGAAGATACAAGGCCAGCTCCAGAGCCACGAGGACTGTGAACTCAAACCCAATGAGATCACGCCTGTTGAATCGGAATCTTTCTTCCAGCTTCTGCATTGGAGGAGAGAGAGGTTAAACAGGCTCAACCCCTGTCTGTTCCCCTCCTGGGGCAGTGGTCTTGAGCCACAGGATGCCCCCCAGTCAGGCAGAGGACAGCCCGCCCTGCAGCATGGCCTTGTTCCCCGGTGTAGGCACAGGGGAGGCCTGGGCTGCTGGGGCGGCGGCCGTGGGGACCCCGCACTCACATCGATGAGCTGCTTCACTTCGTTCTTGCGGAGGTCACTGCTGATCTTGGCGGCCAGTAGCACGCAGGCGCCGGCGCACAGCTTGCGGTTCTGTTTGTTGAGCTTGCCCTGCAGCACGAGCTTCTCGAAGTAAACATAGGCCATGGACACTGTGACGGGCTCCAGGCTGCACTCCTCAGACAGGTTCCGCATTTCCCGCTTCAAACTGTGGTAGGAGATGGGAGAGACGCCGGACCCAGGCGGAAGAGGCTGTGGCCACCATTAGTGGTCACCCACCCATGGCCTGTACCATGGGGCATCAGAGAAGGCGCCACAGCCTTCACGGGGCAGCCAGCTCCCGCCTGGGCCCTCCTTACCTCCTGATTTTGCTCAGGGTCAGTTTGATGTGTGGAAATTTTTCTCGAAAGGTCTCGTTCATGTCCTTCTTGAGGTCTGAGGGCTTCACGTACTCTATCACCGTGGTCTGCAACAAGCAGCAGGTAGGGCCCAGCTCAAGGGTGGGTCCTGCGGCCTGGATTTGCATGTGTGAACTTGTGGGTCTGAGCGTGAGCTGCCTGAGAGCCTGCACTCCTCAGCAGGAGGCCTGACGCCAGGCACCCAGGATGGCGCCCGGGGAGTGTGGGTTCTGGCTTGCCCCACGAATTGGCTGCATCTGTGGGCCCAGGCCCCCACCCTCCTGCTGCTGGTGTTCTGAAGGGGGCAAGGTCTCCTCTGGGCTGGCCATTCTGGGGTTCTGTGTGCTGAAGCAGCCTGCCCACTGCCCACTGAGGCCTGCAGCCCGCACGCTGTGGTAGCAGGCCCTTACCATGTAGGAGGCAAAGATGAGGACGCGCTTGTGTTTCCCACAGGGCCACTGCGGGTCATCCAGGAGGTTGGGGTTGTACTCCAGCGTGTCTCCCCCATCGCTCCCTGTAAGGAGAGGCAGCTCCTGACCCAGAACTTCCCTCAGAACCAGCAAAGCGGCTGACATCAGGGGTAGAGGGGGCTGGCTATGGCCTCCTGTGCAAGGGCCCAGTGGGCAGGTTCCCCTTCACTGCCTGGCTCTGGCAGCACCCAGGGTTGTGTGCCAACTGGAGCTGTTTCAATAGAGAGGCTGCCGCTGACCCTGCTCCCTAGGCAGGCTCTGCAACAGGGCTTTGGGAGTGAACATGGCTTACTGGTGCTGGCCACCATGTGGCTGGCCCTGGCCTGGCCAGTGCTGCCACCTCCCCTGCCCATGGTGAAGGCCTGCAGGCCATGCAGGTAAACATTATGGGGAAGGCGCGTGCCTACCTAGTTCGGTGCCAGCTGGTGTTGCCTTGGTGGTGGCAGGCTTGTGTCTTGACCCTGGCAGAGCCCGGGGGATGCTGGGCCGAGGCTGGGGCAGCAGGCTGTGGCTGTCACTCTTGTGTGCAACCAGGGCGTTGGTAGGGTACAGGAACTTTGCATAGGAGACAACCTGGAGAAGCAATTGTGTCAGGGCCCAGTCCTGCTTCTCTGTGCTGCGCTGCAGGAGGGCCAGGTGCACATGTCCTCCTGTCCTTCCAAGAGTGAGCCACGTAACCCAGAGAGCTGGGAGGAGCTGTGAGCACCATGCCACTTGTCCCCTTGGAGCTGGTGTTTCGCCATCACAGCATCCTGGAGCACTAGCTTCCCACCCTCTATCTGGGCCTGCAATGCCTGACACTTTCGCTGCCCATGAGGGCCCTTGGCCTCAGCCCACAAGCCCAGCTCCGGGCCAGACAGTATGGAGCTCAGGCTGCAGCCTAGTGGTGCTACATGTGGCTCACACTCAGGTGATTTCTCAGGGCTGGCAGCAAGGGTAGCTTCTGACCCAGGTTTCAGATTAATGTGAAAGGTGCCTTCCCATGTGCCTGTCCATCTGGCCCTGAGTATGCTGGCTGCCTGATGGCCGTGGGGTTCTTGCCTTTCCATCTGCTCCCAATTCAACGCCTTCCAATTCAAAGACCATCTCGGAAGACACAGACACGCCGCCAGACGGATGCCTCTGCTTCTGGCTGTCCACCCTTAGGTCACTGCAATGCACAGGAGAAAGGGGCTGTGGCCTTCTGCCCACTGCTGATGGTGGGAGCAGGGTCCACGCTGAGCCCCAGCTCTAGCAGCTCAGTCCCCGTCCATCTGCAGCAAAGCACTCACTCTCCCCGCACAGCCCCTCATGCAGGCAGGACTCAAGTGTGCGTCAGGGAGCACTTCCACTGGAAGGCCACTGTCTTGGTTACTTTTTTCTCGCTGCTGGGACAAAATACCTGACGCCCAAAATTAAGGAAGGAGAGGTTTATTTCGCTTATAGTTCGTGGAAGTTTCAGTCCGTACTTGGCAAATTACAAGGCAGAGTGGCACGTGGCAGAGAGCTGCATCTCAGGGCGGCAGCACACAGCTAAGCCACAAGCACACACCACACACCAGGGAGGAATGGGGGAGGAATGCCCCCAATCAGCTTCTTCCTCTCCCTTACATATGCAAACTATCCACCCCTGGGCGGGTGCAGCTCTCACACCCATATTCAAACTCTAAAAGCCTGCCCCATGTCCGCATGAGGCATTGGGGGGACACACAGACATAAACCATAACAGCCACCTTCTCACTGCTTCCCACTGTAGACGTGACCTGTCCGAACCCTGGCGAGTGGCAGCAGCGCGTCACTTGGCACTTACCTTCACTTGCCTAAGCTGGGTTGCTGGTTTATAACCCCTCACCTGCAGTCACACCCCTCAGCAGCTCAGCTTAGACCCTGAGAACTGGTTGCTTCCCCAGGCAGGAGGTTTCTGTTGCTATTTTTACACATGCCAGGGTCACACACAATGCTGCCCCACCCCCAAGCCATTTCCTTCTTTCCCAAATTATGCTCGGGACACAACTGCCTGCCTGGTCACAAGGATGCTCAACTGTGTAAGAGGGACAGGAACATCCCAGGGAACCTATATATAGACAGGTTGGACATAAACCATGGCCCTCCAGAGAACAAGGACAGGAAAAGGGCTAGAGTTCCTGAGCTCTGGTGGCAGCTGACACGTGGCCCTGCAAGTCAGAGAGCCCGCAGGCCCCACCTGCATGCTGGTGGGTGGGCAACCCCTCTCCTGCTGGCTCAGCAGGGCCAGGGCTTGGGACTTGGCCGGGATGTGCGCACTCACCTGATCCGCAGGCCTTCTCCATAGGGCAGGACAGAGAAGGCGGCACACAAGGACCGCTTGGCACAGATGAGCACAATCCTGTGAGGAAGGCGGGGTGGGCAGGCAGTGCTGCGTTTGGAGTGCTGGGAAATTTCCCAATCAGTCCGAGGAGACTCTGGGCCCAGGAAGCCCAGAGTGGCTGCTCTGGGCACGTCTGGTGATGACAGCCTCGGGCTGCACTGGGCACGAGCACAAGTATTGCACAGGCAGGGTCTTCCCTGCCCCACTGCTCCCGGGGCGCACTGGCCAGGGGGCTCACATTGGGACAGGCCCACCCAGGAAAGGCCGGGCCTTGTTTACAAAGGCGGAGGGCATGGGGCTGAGGGGCTGAGGCCTGCTTACAGCTGGCCCTCAGTGGTTTGGGAAGAGCGGGGCCTGGGACAGTCAGGAAGCACGCAAGGCGGGGCACTCCTTACGTGGTACTTGAGCAGTGTATGGGCCACAGGAGCAAGCAGCTACAACCACAGCGCCTGGCCCTCTGACACAGCTCTGCCTGGCCAGGCCCACGGTCCCAGTGCTCGGCTGCCTCTGGCCCTCACTGCAAGGTTCCCTGAGGGCCCTTGAGGACAGCCCCGGACAGGAAATGTCCATCCAAGCCTATATTCAGCCTTGGAGGGGCCTGGCAGGGTGCGCTCCAGGGGGAGAGGAACTCTCAGGGGCCTGCGTCATAGCAACTCTCAGTGGAGGCAAGGGACAGGGCATGTGCAGCGTCCAGCACTGTTCTGGGTGCTAGATACTAGCTTTTAGCTCAGCCTGCCCTGTGTTCTCCCAAACACGGCCACTCCTCCTCCCCTGGACACATCTCAGGGCCAAGCCCATTTTTATTTCTAGTTTTCCTTCCATTATTCCCCACCGACTTGTGTCCACCTGGTGGTCTCCCCTGGACTGCGTAGCAATTGGCTTGCAGGGCGCGGCAGGGACCCGCTGGGGTTCAGTAGTACAGGAAGGCATGTGTCCACCTCTGAGTACCACAGACCCCACGCCGCTGGCCCCAGGCCCACAGCCTGGACGCCCAGGTCTTGGGAGGATCCAGAGTAGGGCCCTGGGCCCGGTTACCTGCTGTTCCTTGTGTCATACTGCCTCATGTTCTTGATGAAGTGGGTTTTCTTCAGGCCTTTGTGTCTAGGTGACCCGGACACATGTTTGGTTCTGCAAGGTAAAAAAGCAGGGTGCTTTCCGTGGGGCCCTCTGGGGCCAGTGCTGCCCTAGGGGCAGGGACAGTGGGGGGCGTACCTCTGTACTGAGGCACAGCCCGTGTCCTCCAGGAACTCGAGGGAACAGCGCTGCGACGTGACTCGCCTCCTGTAAGGATGACACGGTGGCTTCAGGACGGTGTCAGCGACCTGGGAGCCTCGTGGCTCGCTCCCTGAGCGAGAGTGGTGCCCTACAGCGCAGGGGCAGGCTGCGATCAGCCTAGCTGCTCAGCTCCGCAGCTCAGAGGAACTGCCGCCATGGCCCTTGCTAAGGACTAGTGGCCCTGAAGGGTGGACTTCTTATTTTTTTTTTCTTTCTTTTTGTGTTCTTGAGACAGGGTCTCACTCTGCAGTTCAGGCTGGCCTTGAGCTCACTTTGTAGCCCAGGCTGGTCTCAAATTTGCAGCGATCCTCCTGCCTCAGCCTCTTGAGTGCTGGGATTATAGGCGTGTGCCACCACACCCAGCTTAAAGGTGGGCTCCTTAGAACCAGCCATGCCAACCCTCCCTGACGCCCGAGGGATACTTGGTGCACAGCTGGCTCTCATAGTCCTGTCCCACAGGGCCCTACTGTGGTGGACATACCTGTCCCCTCTGCAGTAGGGCAGGCCCCTGGGGGCCACAGCCAGCCCAGGGCAACAAACACACCAGCTTCTCTTTGCAGCAGGCCATGGCTCCTGCTCAGAACGCTCACAGCTGCTGTTCCAGGGTCTAGAACTTTCTTTCCCAGCTCTGCTGAGGCCATCTCTTTCTGGACTTTAGGTTTCTGTTCACATGCTGACCCTCAGGGAGGACTGCTAAATCCAGCTAGCCTGTGACCTGCTACCAGGGCTGTTGCCAGTGGAAGAAGCTGTCCTTCCTATCTGCCGCCCCTATGGCTTTGGCCTCCACAGGACAAGGGGTGCTGTGTGCTGAGTGCTGGGTCCTCTGTACTTGCACCCAGGAGGCCAGGAAGCGGAGGCAGAGTTTAAGTGTCACGTGAGGGAGGATCCAGGAAGGCAGCCTCTCAGTGCTGAGTGCTGGCAACAGGCTTCTCAAGCCCAAGGCCTTGGAACCTCACACAGCTACTACACGTTTGCGTCAGGTGACAAACTTGTGTTATTGGTCCCAGGGCCACCCCTGTGCCCATTTACTGTTTATTGACCGCCCGGTCCTCACAGAAGTGCACACACAGCTCCCCGGCAAGCCACGCCAACAGCAAAGCTATAAAGGCAGCCCCTGCAGGCCGAGGCACCAAGGTCAAGGCCACAGATGGGAAGGCAGAGGGGCTGCCAGCTCTGAGGCTAATAACACACCCCGTGCTCCTGCTGCCTGGGGAGTCTGAGCCAGGCCCCACCGGAGGGGCAGAGATGTGAAGAGCCCCAAGCCCCGCTGTACCAGGGTGGGCACAAGGGCTCCGAGGTGCCCTGCCATAGCCTGTGGGCACTTGGGGTCTGCACCCAGCCTCACAGGGGCTTGGTTTTTAGTTTATTCTTCCATTATTAGGGGAGCAGTGCATATCTTTAAATAAATAGCTAGACAACTAGAGAAGCAAGCATTTAATCTGCCTAATCACCCATAATCTTTTTGTGGTGACCAGCACCGCTAACACACTGGCACAAATCCTAACACATGGTCATACCCAGCCCGTGCGCCAGCCATTCCTTCCCCAGCACCCATACCTCTTTGTGTCAGACACATCCTGGCCCTGGGGGAGGCGGGGCTGACCCCACCTCCTGTGGGAGCCTTGGCCTTCTAACCATGGCCCCAAGGGGAGCTGGGCCTGGAGTTACAACTCGAGGCAGACACCCCTGTTCACTTGCACTCTCACCGACGGCTCTGTGGGGAGGCTCTTTGGGGTGACATTATGGGCCAAGCGCACCTCCAACCCCAAGGGAACTAGGCCCAGCCCAGGAGAGGGGGCTATGACCTCCCCAAAAGAACGCTGATACACACAAGTCATTGCCCTCCTACCTGGGCCTTAGGAACCTCCCAGGCATTTTCCATAGCCGAGACCTGAGCCATGCATCTGCTGAATGGATGGATGACTGCAGGAGGAACTTCCCACCGGGCACAGCATTGGTGCCCTGCAGGGCCAAGCTGGGGCTTTCTTTCTTGACTTGGAAATGGTCAACGTAGCTGTACAGGCAAGGCTTTGCTCTTTGCTTTATACCAGAGGCCATGCTTAGGCCCCCAAAGGATTCCAAAAACATAGCTCGTAAGGTCAAAGACCAACACGTGCAACACTGCAGTAGCAGGAAATCTGCCCCAACCAGCATAGTGGAGACGTGCAGGTGGTATGGTATTGTGGTGACGGTGTTGGTGGCGGTGGTATTTCAGGTGACTTAATTCCACTAAGCACCTGCTCAGTGCTGGACACAATACCTGGTATGCCTGTGTCTCACTTAGCACTAAGGGGCACAGAGCATTAGAGTCCACGGCACGGCTAAGGAAGCCATGTGGGGGCACAGGACGCCAGGCACGGTGCATCAGAGGGAGAGGCGAAGAGGGTCTGGGAGCCGCTAGGAAAGGAAAGCTCCCGCTGATGCGGTGACCCAGCAAGTCCCAGGAGGGAAGGCCAACTGGAACTCGAGACAAGGCCACTGTTCTCCAAGGCCTTGTGGCAACCTGGGTGCAGAGGGATTCCAGGAGCAGGAAGAGGTCCAGCCGGCGCGGTGCTGAGCACAGGTAGTACTAGTAGCGCTGGTTTTGTGCACCATCACATCCCCGCCCTGCGCTGTACTGTGAGTAGCTGTCCTTCCCAGGAGCTCTCACAACCCCAAGGCTTCCTGCTTCCACTCCCACAAGCATACGCTACTCCCTGAGCCAGGCTGTTCTCCCATCCTCGAGCTGCCATCCAGCCTGACCGGCTCAGCTGCTGACCGGCTGGGGTCACTCACAGCCCAGCAGCTGCAGGGCGTGAAGGTGCCTCTGTGCAGCAGGTGCAGGTTCCCTGGGGCCGTCCCTGAGGACAGGAGTACAAACCCTCCAGGCACAAAGGACCCCGAACTGTGGACCCCACACTGTGGACTCCACAGCTGCAGAGAGAGCCTCCTGCCCTCGGCTCTTGCTGAGCAGGGAGAAAACAGGTCCCTGACCTTACTCACTGCTGGGTTCCACAGGCCTGGCCGCGTCCCGTCTCCTAATTTCGGAATGTGACTGTACTTAGAAACAGGGTCTTTTTATTTGTTTACTTGAGAAAGTCTCATTTTCTAGCACAGGCTGGCCTTGAACTTGCAATCCTCCTGCCTCAGCCTGAGTGCTGGGATCAGAGACGGGTGCCATCACATGTATGCACAGGGATGATTAAGGTGAAAGGGTCATTAGCACAAGCCCTGATCCAATCTATCTGGTGTTCATATCAGAAGAGGAGATCAGGACCCAGACACACAGAGATATGTTTGTGAACACGGGGAGATGTGCTACACACCAAGGAGGGGGCCCCAAAAAAGCCACGCTGGCCCAAACCCTGCCCTTGGGCTTCCAGGCTCAAAAAGTGTGAGAAATAAATGGTCCAGGCATTCTGTTAGGGCGGCCCAGGATGGAGAACGCAGCAGGCGGAGCGCTACATGGAAATTCAGGCTGTACACCATCAGCCTGTCACCTGCACAGGTTTCAGAATGGCTCTGAGCACCTACCAAGCAGTATGGCCCGGGGTATTAACAGTTTCCTGCACTCTGGGAAGTTGAGGCAGGAGGATGGCAAGTTCAAGCCCAGCCTGGGCAACTTAGCAAGACTTTGTCTCAAAAGCTAAAATGGGCTGGGCATGATGGCGCACGCCTGTAATCCCAGCACTCGGAAGGCTGAGGCAGGAGGATTGTTGTGAGTTCGAGACCAGCCTGGGCTACAAAGTGAGCTCAAGGCCAGCTTGAACTGCATAGCGAGACCCTGTCTCAAAAAGACAAAAAAAAAAAAAGCTAAAATGGCTGTGGTATAGCTCAGTAATACGACATGGTGGGGTTCAATCCCTTGTACTGAAAAAAAAAAAAAAAGAAAGAAAAAGTGGACACATGCAGAGCAGTCAGTCCAGAAGATATGCTCACTGACAGCCGCCCAGCAGGGCTGGCGCACTGTGCACCAGAGGGCGGAGGTCACTCTGGCTCCGCAGCTTCTGAGCTGTGTGACCCAGGACGAGCTCCTGTCAGCAGGAGTCCTACCGCCAAGTGTGAGCTAGGTTCCGGTCCTGGGCAGGGACAGGAGAGCTCCTCCCCGGGGCCCTGTGTGCTGCCAGGCCAGCTTCCTTGCAGTCTCCACTAGGCCTGGCTCCATTAGCCCACCCCCTCAAAGTGCAGGTCCTCACACCACGCCTGGCTCCGTAAAGCCAGCATTTACCTGGGGAGCAGGTGCGGCCTCACACTCACGCTCCTGAGGCCACAGCATCCCTTGTGCCCGCTCGGTAGGAGCACAGAGAGGCTCTGCACTTGTGCATGGTCACACAGCGAGGTCCGTTCAGACCCTGGTCAGTTCTAAGGCTGTCACCTGGATCCACACCCACAAGTTCTCCTTTCTTACTTACTAACAAGTCTTTTAAATGATAAAGCCCCAGCAGGGTGCTTCTCTTTGGCCGGTTCTAGGCTGTGACTCCCCACCCACTCCAGCTATTAGTGCAGGCAGGGAGCCAGGGTCCAACCAGGTGGGAGGGGGCGCGGCCCAGACCTCTGGCCTGGCAGAGGTGAGGAGGCTGGGGCCTCTGGCGGACAGCCAGCCTCTGAGGTGCCAGGCGCTCCTGAGCCTGAGCCGAGTTAGGGTAGAGCCGGTGGCTCGATGCATGGGCTGGGGACAGGGAACAAAGCAGCTGCCAAGGGCGACCGCAGGGACTGTCCCCAGCGCGAGACTGTGTGGGCTCTGCCCCAGTGGCTCTCAGGGCTCATTCCCTCAGCTCATCACTCGGGCGATGCCCAGGCGGCTTCTGCACAGCTGGGACCTCATTTGTGGGCCCAGAGAGGCGGCAGCGGAAGCCGGGCCCCTTGGCTGCCGAGGAGGAGCCGCGGGCCGCTGCTGACCTCTGTTGTCTGGCTTTCCCCTGCTATTTTCTGCCTACTCCAGAGACAGCTTATTCTTCTTGGCAGCTTTTAAAGTCTGTTCCCAGTTGGTCCGCAGGTCTTTTCCTTTGTGATTTTCTCTCTCTCAT